AAAAAAAATAATCTTTTATTACATTTGGACAAGATTTTATTTTTTAGGAATCACTGCTTGGCTGTGAGTAGTTGTTGCTTGCTGAATGTTATTCACACTTCCTCCCTCATAGCAAGCTCATGTGTAACAGTCTTAACTTGTGGGATGGGCTGGAACACTCCATTCTAATCCAAGGGCCATAGGTCATTATAAACCACAAATTCTTCCTCCCTAGGGAAGTATCAAGGGATGTGGTCTTTCCTATCTCATTTTTCTGTAATCTCCTTTAGTCTAAAATACGGTTTATGCCACTAATCACCAGATTTAATATATTATAATAATACCTTACCTGGCAATTAATATCAAGAGAAAAATCTTCCCCAGATTGGCACCTATGGAATTTCAACTGTCTAGTTACAATGAGGGATAACAAAAGAATAAATATTTTAAATGCCTGACAGGAAGGAATTTTCCCTATAAGATGATTTTGATGGTCTAGAACAGGAGTTGATAAGCCTCTCTCTATAAAGGGTCAGATGGTAAATATTTTACATTAGACGGTCCTGATAGAATCTCAAACTGCCCTGCTATTGCAGCATGAAACCAGCTAAAAAATGATACATAAATGAATGGGTATGGCTGCGTGTTTCAATAAAACTTTACTTACAAAAACAAGAAGCAAACCAGATTTGACCCACCGGTTACAGTTTGCAACCTCTTATGTAGAATTTATAATGATTCAAGAGAGTTTGGACCAAAATTTAAATTTTAATGAAATACAGTTATGGCCTTTCCAATGCAAATCACTATACTTGAAGACACCTAGCTGACTCTCAAATTAAATATATCTTAAAATCTCTTCAGGTTTTCCTATTTACTTTTTCTTTGGATTGTACAAATTACAGTGAAGATTTCTAAATTTATTTAAAAAATTAGGCAATTTCAGGGGCACCTGGGTGCTCAGTTGGTTAAGCATCCGACTTGATTTCAGCTCAGGTCGTGATCTCAGGGTGGTGAGATGAAGCACCACACGGGGCTCCATGCGCAGCAGGGAGCATGCTTGAGATTCTCTCACTCCCTCTGCCCCGCCCTGTGCACATGCACGTGCTCGCTCTCTCAAATAAATAAATAAATCTTTAAAAAGAAACAGACAATTTTTATCAACTATTGGAAAATTTGTAAGAGTTGAGGCTACAAAACAGCAGCTTTTCAATTCTATGCTAATTGTGAATTCAATATAATAATTATTTTTTCTGGGCTTAACAAGATAGAGTTTACAGAGGATTAAAAAAAAAACCCTTTTCCTTAGAATACTTAAAAGAAAGTCATTTATCACTGGAACAGATCCATTATTAATTTGAATTATTTTTCTGGCTGGTCATTTAAAAAGCTCTCCTTGTTTGGTATTTTGATTCTATACTAATTCTTGGTTACTACTATGACTTGGACTAACAATATAAGTACTATGTATCCAACTTAGTAAATAATTTAGTATGCAATTTCAGTGTAAATTATAATTCACTTAATTAGTACATGTATAGGTAGCCCCTCTGGTTCTATCGAAGACGTTTAGACTAGATGAATAGTATTTATAAAATTTGATATCTCTATTGATTTAAGGAAAACTGGTAAATGGCATTTAAAAGTAAAACATTTTCTCAGTATAATTCTAATTTTTGTATAATTTTAATTCTAATTCTTTGTATAATTGTAATACTTAAAAGGATTGGATAACTGATTAAAAACTTGTTGACTGCAGACACATGGAAAAAGCAACGTTACCACTATGGTGATACGTGATTCTACTGCATCTTACACTGTAGGACAAGCTATAAGTTATTTGAAAAGTTAAGCATTTGGGTTTTTCATTCTGTGTTTCCCTATCTTTTAAAAGTAAAAGACTAAAGGAAAAGATGTAGGGAAAAGAGTCTTCATTTCAGCCTTTTAGTGAATTTGGTAAGGGTAAGATGATGTCAAAGGAAAAACTGTTTAAGACAAAAGACATTGAAGACAGGAACTAACACAACATTAGACTTCTTCCTTCAAAGATTTCTGAAAACTTTAAAAGGGGAAGATTACTTCACAGACTGGAATGTAAGCCCAGTTGGAACTAAGGTCTATAGGGCTTTTGAGGTGTCTAATGCTAAAAATCTCAAGTTGACTCTCTAGTTAAAAAAGGCTGGAGAAGAGAAAGGAAAATTTTTGTTCTGGAAAAGTGTTCTTCTCTGATGCAAATAGAAATCCATCTTACAAAGGAAGAAGTAGAGATGAGTTGCCCTAATTTAGTCTTTTGGAAAGAGACAAGAACATTATGAATTTGCTAAAAAACTTTTGTTTCTTCTATGACTTTATAAGCTATGAGATATCTTATTTTTTGTGAAAAATTTCCAAGCCCAAAGATATTCACACAAATTAACTTGAAATAGTGAAACCCAGTTTTGGAAAGAAGAAGAGTATAGAGAATCTAAATTTTTAAAAAGTTATATAAAAAAGAGGTCCAGTAATTAGTTGGTGCTCCATTTCAGATATTTTATCCATTTTCCTTTTTTATAGCTTTTCTGTTTGAAGAGATGGAAACATTCAAATATTAAAAGTATTCCACAATGGGCTATAAAAATAACTCCCAAATCCCCAAGTGGAAGTAATAAACTTCCTACTAGTATACTGATTAAATCAGTTCTAATCTTCTGTGAATCTAGTAACAAGAGTGGAATAAACTTTTAGAATCACACTGTAAACTTCAGAAGAAAGAGAATGCCAAATATTAATCTGAAAAGCACATTTTTCATTAACAAAAAAAAAATAATGCTAGTAGGAGTTTCTGGTTTTTTTTTCCTAATAATGCAGTGAAAATGATAAAAACCATAGCACATATTATTGAGTCCTTACTTCAGCTGTTCTATTTTATTATATGTTTATTATTAGTGACAATTCTGTAAGATAGGTATTACATTTATTTCCCTTACCATATACAGGAACAAGCATAAAGAAGTGGAAATTTGGTGCAAATAGAATCAAATGTCCTGATTTTGTTGTTGTTATTTAATGAATGTTTCTACATGTGAGAACTGGTTTACCTAATACAAATGAATACTAATTCTTTAATAGGATTTGTAAGAATACACAGATTCAATTGGCAGAGTGCATTGTCAATCCTCTTCAAGGATTAATTTGCTCACATAGGGACCGGATAACTCCTAGAAGAGCATTTCTTGCTCTCATCTTAAACATTTCTTATGGCAGCCACATGACTCCTTTTGATGGGAAAGTAACAGAATTTTGAATTTTTCTAAGAAAAATCTTCCATTTTGATTAAAAAAATACTAAGCTAAAATAATGTCATGAGATCGCTTCTCAGCCTTTTGGCTAAGATCAAGTGTAAAATAATGTCACGAGTGTGTTTGCTTTTTTCTATAATCTCTTGTTCAGATTTAGAGCTCAAGTGAAGACTGGTCACATATTATTAAGAAAACCTGAAAGAAAAGGATACACCCACAAGACATCCTGAATTTACTTGAAGTTTATGTTCTTTCACTACTGCAATTGCTGTGCATATATGGAAAGCATCTATAGTTCCTTTGTTGCATGACTACTTTTAAATCAGACTACTGAAAATAAGCATTTTGGGGATACACATGGGAAATAGCACTTTTCTGAGAATATATCACTTCCTAAAAAGTCAACTGACTATTTTTGGCTCAGAGTTTTCTCTTCAGAAGGTTAGGCACCTATCAGGAATTTATTTGGGTGAAACTGCTTTTAAAAACACCTGGATGCACAAAATTTAATCCCACACAAAATGTTTGCATGCACAAAATTTTAATCCTACACAAAATGCTTCTATGAATGGATAATTCACCTGGAAAGTTTAACTAGCAATTTCTACTCTGCTGACAAATTCTCCTTTGTTGAAACCTAATGGTAGCTATTGAGGGAGGAGAATTTTCTTTTTCTCATACCAAATTTGACTTCAAATTAAGAGTGTGGAATTAAGGTGGTGTCATGTGCTTTTACTGTACTCCTAGCCTTCTACTTAACTGCCAACTGAAGGGTAATCCTACATTTTGTATTTATTTTGCCATATGACCACCAATTAAGTTTAGATATCATGTGTCAAATTTCCTCATACACACACTGTTTTATGCTTTATCTATATTTTTATTATATATTACATAACACATATGGTTAAATGCTACATGTTTATATTACATATATATATCTAATATTATATATTATATAATCCCCAAGTATATTACTTCTATAATATATCACATGTTATACGAAACATAAAAAAAGATAAACCATTGTGTATAAGAAAATTTATTATATAACTTCTTATGTACTATATTAGAATATGTTTATTACAGAGATTACATTAAACATCTTATGTGTTTCTTATCTTTCTTACTTAAGACTAAAGATCTGTTGCAAAGACTACAAATTAAGTCTGACCCATTATTTTCAGCCACTGCTCAAACTCACACCTTAATAAGACCACACTGCACTGAAGTGACATTTATTTTGTAAAGCTTCAGTATGTATTCTGAATTTTTTGAAGCATATTCTGAATTATGTTTCTGAAATGGAACTATGACAGAAGAACCTTAACTTGCTAACTGTATTGAAGTCTACTAGAACCACAGTGGTGTTAACAGTCAGAAGGCCTAAAGGGTGTATGCAAATTTCAACAGCTAGTGTAAGAAATTAACAAATTTATGGCAAAAAACCTAAAAATCTAAAACTGTCTACTTTCTTCATGAGGTAATTAAGTTGGAAATGCTATAGGTCATTTCTAGGAGTCTAGCAAGAAGTTATTCAGTGTTGCTTTTTGTTGACAGATGGAATTTATGTTTAAAGATAGAACTATCAGAATATATAGTTATAACAGAAAAAGAATCTTGGAGATTCTTAAATTAGATGACAAAGGACATTTTAAATATTTTGAAATGTCATATTATTGTAGGAAAGCCAATGTTTCAGTTTATGGAAGCACAAAGTAAAACCCTTCAGGGGATACTTACTCTTTTCTGTTCTTTTACATACTCTATCAATTCATCTCTTGTTCTCTTCACTGCCTCTTCCACAGCCTTTTCACTTCGCTTTTGCTCTTCTATTATTGCTGCCTTAACAGTTTCCTGTTTGTGGGAGGAAGAAAAAAAGTCAGGGAGGTATGCACTATGACATGTTTGTGTCCATTTCATATAAACTAAAACTCCTCTGCAATAGGGCGAGCTCATTCCGCTCAAAGTGTATCTTTAAACAGGAATAAGAATTTACAAAATCTTTTAGGATGTTAGAGATTCCACAGAATTCATTTTTCTAAACCGAGTGAAAGGGAAAAGAAATGGAATAAGTCATTTATTGCAGGGAGCGCCTGACAGACTCCAATGGCTTCCTTACCAACCTTTCATTTGATGTTTACATGATTGATTGCCTTCCTGTACTTTGCACTATCCACATAAGACTTCCAACTTGTGTTTATTCTTCCAAGAACACCCTAATGCTCTAGCTGTTTTATTCACGTTTAATTTTCCCATCATACAGTAATCAAGTGTGGTCTGGGTGAAGATTTACAGCTAGTTTGGTCCTTCTGCCAGGTTAAGATGTTGAGAGCTGGACACCATGAATAAGAGGTAAAAATTCTACCCTGTGTGCTAATATTTGAAATGAGGAATCTGGGGAGAAAAGTGGTACTTCCTATTTTACTGAAATTATAATCAAGTACCTTGGAGATTTCAGAATTTCAGATAAGAAGAAAAAAGGCTAAAATTCTGAAAAACAAGTATAATACTTTTCAGAAAGTACATTTTCTGCTAAAATAGCATATCATGGATTGGATGAATGCCACAAAATAAACTTCTTTAACTTGTACTTACCTATATAGGTAGCATCCTTCTTTTACAGGTGATCAGTTAGAAAATGCCTTGAAATTTTGTGGGAGTATTTGCTTCACTTTGTTAGTCTTAAGGACTCTTCACTTTGTAGTGTATGCTTGTTTTTGTTTGGTTTTTCCCAATTAATTTTAGATATGTGTATATAACCCAGGAAATATGAAATAATATTAAGAATTTCCTGTTGTGAATATATTTACTGTAGAAAATTTGAAAATACAGAAAATTATGAGCACAAAATAATACACACATGTCTCCACACTTGGGTATAAAGAAGGTGGGGCTCAAACTGCACATACTATTTTCTAACTGGCATTTTACACTTAAAATATATTTTGAGTACTTTAACCCATTATACATTCCTTCATAATATGATTTACATTCCATTGCAGGGATATGCAAGAATTTATTTGATCAATCCTTATTCATGTGTATTATGGTTGTTTTTAATAAAATAAAGCAGTGATGAACATCCATATATGTATTTTTGTGGTGCATGTTAGATATTTCTGTAAGATGAATTCAAGAAGTAGAATCATTTTGGTCAGAGAATATAATTTTTGAGTTCTCTTATAGTTTCTGACCTTTTGTACAAATTTTTTTTTCAATAAGCAGTCCATGGAAATGGCTGTTTTCTTACATCCTTGATTACATTTTAGTTTTCCTTCTTTGAGGGAGAATGACATCAAGTTTTATTCTGTATTTTAAAAAGATTATTATGTGATATTCAGCATGTTTCTAGAAATATTAGCAGCATACATATCATCTTTTATCATCTGCCTGATCATATCTCCTCTTTCCACTTCAATACTGGTATGCTCATAATATTTTGGATTCCTTTTGTAAAATAGAAAATGAAGTCACAAATCTACAAATCCCTAGAATGGTGGTAACTTTGAAAATGGTTACCATTTTATCTTCAATCACTGAATACATTAAGATCTAGTTCCACTGATAAAATAATAGAGTACTAAGTTGTTTCCTTAATTATTTGGAAAGACTAAAGTTGAAAACCTATGATAAATGTTCAAAGACAAAAATGAGAACAAATAAAATTATTTAAAATAAAATCATATACTATTACAATTCTTACTGGTATCACATTAATTTGAAATTTGAAAATTTTCGTATTTTGGAAAGGCAAAAAATATTGCTAAGCCCCCTGAAACACAACACATTGATAGTTCTATAGTAGACAGTATGAACATTCACACTATGTGGGTAAATTAAAAGTACAAAAAGCTCCACGTCAGTTCAGGCAGGTTTTGCCAACAGTTGAGTTATAAAATCCTTAGCTTTCAGGGCTTTTGGAATTTTAGAACTGCAGATAAGAACTGTAGACCTGGATTATTTGAATGTAAAAGACAAATCCATGTCACATTAAATATCAACCAGAATTTCTAAGTAGCAAGGGTTGTATCAGTGAATGTGACCAGGCAAAAACATCAATTTAAATAAAAGGGATAGGTGCAGAAAAAACATGAAGAATTAATTTGTTCTTCCATTGGCTTTTGGGGGGCTGAGAGTTTATTATCTGCTCAATCCACATTTTTGAGGATCTCTTTGCTTTTTGAGCTGATAAGGAACCATTTTCAAAAAAAAGTTTCTTAATTCAACTCTCCTCTCCAGTTGGGAATTAGGTGACAGTCGAGGTTGTGAAATCCATCCTTAAAAAATACTTGCCAAGAAATAAATTCCTTTGAATATAATACAAAAAGTAAAGTTTAAGCCATCCATTTTCTAATTAGACCAAATGCTGACTTAGTTGGAAATAATTAGTGGATTTTAGGTGCATGTATACAAAGTGCCTGTGAATTTCTGCCTAGATGTTTTGTTGAATTCCCTATGAGACATGAGAATTCGTCTAAAATAAAATATACCTCACAAGGAAGGAAGATGTGCCATCAATGAGTATATGCAAAGAGGCAATTAAAACGAGTATTTTCCAGAATATTTTAGGAAAGGTTACACCACTGGAACATGGTATATTCTCTAAGGCAGGTTTCTCAGCCTCAGTACTATTGACAATTCTTTGCTGGGAGTTGTGGGGGGACGTCCTGGGGTAAGCAGCATTTCTGGCAGCTACTCACTAGATTGCCGCCAGCTGAGAACCACTGCTATACGGTAAATAGTTTGTGGAGGGAAATACATCCACTTGCATATATGTTATGATTTGTCAAAATATATCAGTTACGTTTCTCATCATATCTTAAATATTTTTATCTAAAATATATGCAATATGCAATAAAAAGATAAAATCTATGCAAGAAATCATATCCAAATGATTATATAGCTAGTTTTTAAATGTGGAAGAAAGAGTTCTATATACTAATTTCTTAAAAACCTGGATGACTGGATAACAATGAAATACGTCAAGATGAATATAATTTAGGGCTAAAAGTTTATGTGACATTTTATTTGATTTTTAATTTCTCCTTATTCCTTAGAAGTATATTTATGTTTTAGTATCCATTAACCTACCATACATTTCAGTAATCATAGGATCATGAACTAATAAATGACCTGTGGTTGTCTATTCTTTTTCGGTGTAATTTAGTTAAGGATTATAAACACAGTTAAATTATTTATGGAACAAATTTCAGCAATCAACTCAATTCCTGTTTGTGGGCTATATACCATAGTATCAGAAATTCTCTGAGGGCAACTGTGTTTCTTTTTTTTAAATACACAATGTATGCATATTTCATAATTATATATTATTTAAAATGTTGCACGTGGTTGTGAAAATGTACCTTAGAAAATGAGTGTTTGAATCATGAGTCAAGTCAAGTTGCCTTACTGTTAAAAAAAGTGAGACTTCATGGAACACTACATCAAAAACTAATGATGTAATGTATGGTGATTAACATAACATAATAAAATAAAAAAAAATTTCTCTTTTAACCCTGAAAAAAAAAAAAGTGAGCCTTCCATTCCTACACAAATTTATGAGTTCAAACTACAGTTCCATCAGTGCTTCTCAGACATTGATACAAATGCATAAAATATCTATATTTCAAAATCCACTTACTGCACAGTTGAGAAACTTTCACCTAACTTTCAATTGGAAGTAATTAATCTACACCGTAATGATATGCTAAATGTAAAATATTAGTAGAATAACCTAATTCTATAAATGTTTCTCAAGTAATGAATATGCTCAATTAAAATCATGCTCATTGACTGATATCAATATTTGATAGTATCTACCTGCATTAGGCATTTTTAAAGATGAAATATGGAGAATCTTATATCAGCATTAATGAGTTTTGCAGCCATTTTTCATGATAGGGATTATCTAACTTTGAACCACAATAAAGCAAAATGTTATCCTCCCCAAAGAGAATTCTATTGTCACTAGGTTTATATTATTAAAAAATATCATCGAGGGGCGCCTGGGTGGCTCAGTCGGTTAAGTGTCTGAATCTTGGTTTTGATTCAGGCCATGATCTCAGGGTCCTGAGATCGAGCTCTGTGTCAGGCTCCTTGTTCAGTGGGGAGTCTGCTTGAAATTCTCTCCCCCTGCCCTTCCCCCTGCTCATGCATTCTAAAATAAATAAATAAATAAATAATCATTATATTTTTAATTTCATCAATAAAATTTGTGAAGTTTTTTTCCCTTGTTATGTAAGCACCTACATAATATTCTTGATTAAGCCTCTTGTCCCATCAACCCTAAAATTATTACTATATGATCCTCTACAGAAAAAGCTTGCCAATCCCTGATTTAAGTCATGATTCTCCAAGTTGGCCAAGAGCCCAAGTTGGGCTCAGCTGGGCAGTTCTTTTAGTCTTGGCTGGGGTCTTCCACATATGTGAAATCAACTGTTGGGGCTGATGTGGCTGCCACTACTGAGTTGCCTCAGGTAGAAAGGTTTGTTTCTCCTTCCTGTGGTTTCCCATTCTCTAGCAGACTAGCTCAGGGATTTTTTCCCTAGCACCTGGACAGAGTTGCCAAAGAAAGAGTGAAAATATCTTCCGATGATCCTATGTTACTGTAGCCATATTATATTGGCCTGAGCAAATAAGCATTATGAATTGATTCCCAAACTGTTATCTAATTGTCTAAATAGCTTCTCAGTATATTCAAAGATATTAGGCCTTCTATTATGTTTATTTTCTTGGAGACATATCTCGTGGACATAGCTCCAGACTGGATTGGTTGTTCTCTAGGTCTGTTACATAACTGTCTAATCTGGATCTCCCTCAGGCATATTTCTGGAAATTCACTACATCTCTCTTGA